TTTATTTTAGAGACAGGGTCTTGCTCTGTCACCCAGGCTGCAGTGCACTGGCATAATCATGGCTCACTGCAGACTTGAACTCCTGGGCACAAGTGATCCTCTCATCTCAGCCTCCCAAAGTGCTGGAATTATAGATGTGCACCACTGCACCAGCTTATTTCTGGATTAAGTTTTGGCAGATAAGAGTGTTGGTTTGTAAGGTATCAGCCAAATAGTCTTTGCCTGTACTGAGCATGAAGTCAAATCAAATCAATACATGTGACTTTAATTCAACAATTATTTATTGAATAGCTATTATTACATGCAGTGCACTGGGCACTGTAGCAAAAATTGAAAATTTTTAACATTATACCTTCAAATTCCTGCCTCATAAGTTTTCTTGTTCCCTCACTCCCACTTTTCCTGCCCTCTGATGGTTCTCATGATAGTTTATTCCATTCACTGGTTCCTCAGCTCTGCCCTCTTCTCCCATTCTATCCATTCCTGGTGGTCTTCACTTCCTCCCTTGCCAGCCTAGGAGAGACAGTAGATCAAACATATTTTTTTTCTAGCCCCCTCAGGTCCCTTGCTGTATGATCCTTCTACCTCACTCACTGTGGACAATATACACCAAGGACTGATTCCATTGTCCTTCTGTTTTTCCACACAGAGGCTGCTGAGTGTCGCTGGGGATGGGACTGGTGCCATGGCAAATTCCCAGTGTCCACTCTCGGCTCTACTCCCAAAGCTGATTAGGAATAGTATCATGGGTCTCCTGGTTCTGTTCCAGCTGTCCTAAGCCCTCGAGTCTACTCATTATTTCTCATCTAGACTTGGTTGGAAAAACAAAGTAGTAACCAATAAATGTCAAGTGAATAAAAATGGAATGGTCTGTGCCTCTAGGAATCATAACTAGATACCAGGCACGTGTTGTCCACTTTAAATGCATGATCTCATTTCATTGTCAAACAACCCAACATGGTAGGGACTAATCTCTGGATAAGAAAGCAGACTTTTAAAGAGGAAATAACTTGTCTGAGATAATATATTTAGTAATTTTTAAATTTTTTTAGAGATAAGATCTCGCTCTGATGCCCAGGATTATAGCTCACTGTAACCTGGAACTCGTGGGCTTAGGGAATCCTCCTGCACAGCTGGGATTACAGGAATGTGCCGCCATGCCTGGACAATTTTTTTCTTTTCTTTTTCTTTTTTTTGTAGAGATGCGGGTCTCACTATGTTGCCCAGGCTGGTCTCCAGCTCCTGGCATCAAGCAGTACTCCTACCTCAGTCTCCCAAGGTGCTGGGATTAGCTCCTTGAGCCACCGTACCCATCCGGTTACTACATTTTGAACACAGCATGTTCTTAATCACTAGGCCATAATGACTGTTCTTATCACCTCTAAAACACACACACACACACACACACACACACACAGTCTATTTCATATTGCTAACAGTATCATTTGTAATGTAACGTTTGTTACCTGATTATGCCATTCTTTCACTTTAAATTCTTCTCAGACCCTCTATACTTTTTCAATACTACTAAGACTTTGAATGTGACTCAAGGTGGGAGGTTTCCTGACCTGGCCTCCATCTGCCAGACAGCCCTGTCTCCCCATCCCATACTCCACACAGCTCAGCTCCAGTGACGCTGGGCTCCTTGTATTCTTCCCCACATGCCACATTCCCCATTGATTCTGCGTTTCATGCTCTCTAAAATACTCACTTCCAATCTCCGTACAAATTCTTATTCCTTCTTGAAGAGTAGGTACAAATATAGCCTCCTTCTTAAAATATTCCCTGACTAAAGGAATCATGGAAATGATAGGCCTCATCTAATTTACAATCTAGTTGAGAAAATAAATCACATAAACGTGAACAATCAGCAAACAATACAAGTCAGAATCTAATCAAGTGCTAGATTGTATGGTACATGTCGCATATGTAATGCACCAAGTAAAAGGCTTTGGAAAAAAAGAAGTCAAGAAGATGCAAGAGTTAAGGAGTGAGAAAACATCTCAATTCAGGAGGTGTAGCTGGCTCAGAGCAGCATACTCTTCAAAGACAAGGTTTTTAGGACAGCGTGCAATTCCTGTTCCATATTTTGTTCAAATCTAACCACTTCCTTTCTCCTCTGGCTTTATATATATATGTATATAAATATATACAAAATATATATATTTAATTTTTTCATAGGTTTAGGGATACAAGTGCAATTTTGTTAGATTGTGTAGAAGTAAAGGCTGGGCTTTTAGTGTAGCCATCCCCTGAAAAGTGTACATTGTACCTATTAAGTAATTTCTTATCCCTCACCACCCTCCCATGCTTCTGATTCTCCAATGTCTGTTATTCCATTCTTTATGTCCATGTGTACACATTATTTATCTCCTAAGGGAGAATATGTAGTGTTTAACTTTCTTTTTCTGAGTTATTTCACTTAAGATAATGGTCTCCAGCTCCATCTATGTTGCTGCAAAAGACACGGCTTCATTCATTTTTATGGCTAAGCAGTATTTCATGGTATATATATACCACATTTAAAATGCAATCATTGCCGGGCATGGTGGCTCATGCCTGTAATTCTAGCACTTTGGGAGGCCGAGGCAGGTCGATCACCTGAGGTCAGGAGTTTGAGACCAGCCTCGCCAACATGGTGAAATCCCGTCTCGACTAAAACAATACAAAAATTAGCTAGGCCTGGTGACGGGTGCTTGTAATTGCAGCTACTCCGGAGGCTGAGGTAGGAGAATTGCTTGAACCCGTGAGGTGGAGGTTGCAGTGAGCCGAGACTGCACCACTGCACTCCAGACTGGATGACAAGAGCGAAACTTAATCTCAAAAAATAGTAATAATAATAATACTAACTCAATCATCTATTGGTGAACACAGGTTGACTCCATGACTTTGCAATTCTGAATAGTGCTGCAATAAACATGAGTGCAGGTATCTTTTTCTTTAGGTAGACACCCAGTGGTGGGATTGCTGGATCAAATGGTAGTTCTACTTTTAGTTCTTTAAGAACTCTCCATACGTTTTTCATAGAGGTTGTACTAATTTACATTCCCACCAAAAGTGTATGGACATTTTCTCATTTCTCCATATCCTTGCCAGCATCTGTTATTTTTTGATTTTTTTAATGATAGCCATTTTGACTGGTGTAAGATGGTATCTCACTGTGGTTTTAATTTGCATTTTTAATTTGCATTTTTCTGATGATTAGTGATATTGAACATTCTTTCATATGCTTATCAGTCACCTGTATGTCTTGTTTTGAAAAATGTCTGTTCATGTCCTTTGCTCACTCTTTAATGGGGTTATTTGGTTTCTGAAATTGTTGAGTTGCTTGAGTTCCCTGTATATTCTGGATATTAGTCCTTTGTCAGTTGCATAATTTGCAAATATTTCCTCCCATTCTGTAAGTTGTCTGTCTGAGTATTTCTTTTGCTGTACAGAAGCTTTTTAGTTTAATTGAAATCCCATTTTTTTTTTTTGGTTGCATTTACATCTTTGAGGTCTTAGTCATGAATTCTTTGTCTAGGCCAACATCCAGAAGAGTTTTTCTTAGATTTTCTTCTAGAACTTTTATACTCTTAGGTCTTACATGTAAACCTTTAAGCCATCTTGAGTTAATTTTTGTGTACACTGAGAAATAGGAGTCTAGTTTTCATTCTGCACATGGCTATCTAATTTTCTTAGCACCATTTATGGAATAGGGTATCCTTTCCCCAGTGTATGTTTTTGTTTACTTTGCCAAAGATCGGTCATCTCTGGGTTTTGTTTTTTGTTCCATTGATCTATGTATCTATTTTTATGCTAGTATCTTGCTGTTTTGGTTACTATAGCCTTGTTAGTATAATTTGAAGTCAGGTAATGTGATGCCTTTAGCTTTGTTCTTTTTGCTTAGTATTGCTTTTGCAGTTTATGCTCTTTTTTGGTTCTACATGAATTTTAGGATTAAAAATATGGACTGTTTCATGAATTTGCATGTCATCCTTGTGCAGGGGTCATGCTCATCTTCTCTGTATCATTCCCATTTTAGTATATGTGTTGCTGAAGCGAGTACTCCTTTTACTTTTTTATTGCCTTCCATTTCTACCTCTGATATGATCTTTGATGATACTATTCAGATGCTGGCCAGATTGTCTGAGAGCTACAGACTTGACCTCCTCGTCTGGCCCTTTCAACTGCTCTTAGATGTTAAGCCACTAGTCTATGTAAGGGAACTATACAAAACAGGCATTTATACTTGCTATGGTTTTTACTGTCGAGACGTTGCCTGTCTCAGCAAAGATTGACTTCTGAATTTACCATGTGGTAAATCCCTCTCAGGTGTCAGTATTAACAAAACTGTGTGCTTACCAACTGTCTTTAATCGTGCAGGTGCTATTACTCTTGTAAGATGAGCATGTTTCCACTTCGAGCAGTGTGTGCTCCACCAGCTTGAATACCAGGAAAGTTATCAGGAAAAGCTATGGCAAAATCATGATGGTTTTAGTACTTTTCCATTTTTATTCTACTATCATTGTATTTCCCTTGGATGTTTATTCCATTCACACACACACACACACACACACACACCCACCCCACACACACAATCTCATAAACCACTTTAATCCCTTGTGGAAACAAATTGTAGTAGAGGTAGCAAATCTATATCCAGATACCTCTGTATTATGTAAAATATGTCAATATGCTTTTTCCCTCACTTGATATCATCCGTTGACTGTTCTCAAACTCAAGTGTGCATCAGAATCAGCTGGATGTCCCCAAGGCACAGATGCATCTGATAAATGTTAGCCAAATAAATACATGAATGGGAATTTTCCTGCTCGGGAAACAAGATATGTTCACGGGAAAAGTTTGATAATTTATAAGTAAGATGACTATTTTTGTACTGAGAATAATGCATCGTTAGTGCCGGCACCGTGCAGAGCGGAACCGCTGTGCTGATCAGGAAGGACTGGAGTAGCGGCTAATGAAGACCGCTAAAGCCTGCTTTGCTGTTTCATCCACAGCACACAGGCCGCATCTGTCCTGGGGCTCATTTGTCCATCTTCCCCCTCCTCCGCAGTTAGAGTCTCCTAAACTACAATGGCAATGACTGAAGAAACTGTGGTTGAAAAGTCCACACCAAATTCTCTGTATGTCACTGAAGACAAGGACATTTTGCGTAGAACCTGGCTGCTAATCCACTCTTGTCATGAGGGAAGATTTTTTCTCTTTCTGTAGTGAGCAACAAGGCCACTCGGTAAGATACAGAATTATCTCACTAGTATTTTTGAATCTAGAAAAATACAAGCTTTGCTTTTTAATGGGCTTATTACACGTATGTGCTGAAAACTTGATATACGCTCCTTCTCATGCTTGCGAGTGTGACGTGGTTTCTTCCCTTTTCACAGATGAAGAAAGTGAGGTTCATGGAAGTTAAATAACTTGCCCACAGGGCACAACTAGATGGCAGCTAAGCTAGGACTTCAACTGAGGTCTGTGAGACTTAAAGCACCTGCTCTTCCTGCTCCTCAATAGCTTTCCTGCTAGGCACCAAGAGACTCTAGGCTGCCAGGAACATCACAGCAGGGACCACTGTCAATCAGTGGATCTCCACAGTCTTTCAGACTTTCTTTTGAAGAAAGATTTAGCTGCTAAAAGAAAAGATGAATATACAAAAAGGATAATACTACTGTATTTCATCATATTGCCTCGTTTTAATACAAGAAGACTCATCCAGCTTAAACATTTGATGTCTAAGAAGCTAACCAGCAAGCTGCCCTCTGGGAATGCATACCATCAGGTATGGATCAGTGGTCCTGAGATCATGTTCATAAATCAACAGCTTTCTACAAGCTGTCAAGACTCAGAACACGGTACCCCAAAGTATGGCACCTTGGTGTGCCGAGTACTATGGACTGAAGGACATCGGAAAGGTCTCAGAAGCAATGTCTCTTCGACCTTCTCCCAACCCCCTGTGTCTCACCTGTCTTTCTCCCATGAAGTGAGTCCTGGCAATCAGAATTCCTCTTTGCCAAGGCATGTCACAGAAACTAGAACCCTCTCCTCCAAGGGAAGCCGTGAAACCCAGAAAGGTCACTCTGCCTTCCCCCTTCTCCCTTGAAGACCTTCATTCCAGAGGGGCCCTGCCCCATATTCAGGAGGGTTACACAAAGGGGTTAAGAAGAATTTGAATAGTCAGGCCTTGCTAGGTTCCCTGTTCAGTCTGTCAGCATTAGATCACACCCTTTAGTCCATCACATTTCTACACTGCTGTCCATTCTTCGTCAAACCGAAGAATAAAAAAAGCTTTCCCTGGGTCTTAGGGTCTTCATTTCTGAGGAGTCCCATGTCACATAAAACTTTGGTTACCTTCATTATGCTTTTCTCTTGTTAACCTGTCTTTTGTTATAGGAGTGACCATTATGATAGGTGAGGAAAGATATCACACATTTCTGCCCCTACAAAGCCAAAAATGTTGGCTTAGGAATGCTGCTAAGCTCAAGGCCACAGCTACTCACAACCTTTTCTCTCCACTACCAAGACCTGTAGATACAATGTGAATAATTTTAACCTTGATATAGAAGTGAGCCAATGCAGACAATAACTTCTCAGATATCCACAAAAGCTAGTTACTAGCATCCATGTATTCTTTCTTTCCCCAACAAATATTTATTCAGCATCTACTAAATGACAGGTGCAGTTCTAGGGAACAGGGGTTCAGTAGTGAACACAATTCCAAAAGTCCATGGCTTCATGACAATTACATTCTTGTGTTGGGAGACAGACAATAAACAAACACATTGTGTATAAAATGTTGATGACGGTATCATGTTTTAGGTGATGAGATATTAACTGCCTTCTGTAAGTAATCTTTCATAAACTCTTTGCTGACTTGGAGGCATTGAAAGTTTTACAAAAATATTGGCTTATTGATTAAAGAGGAAGTATGGTAAAATTTACACTCATCACAGGTTGAGTATCCCTTATCCAAAATGCCTGGGACCCACAAGTGTTTTGAATTTCTGATTTTTTCAGGTTTTGGAACATTTGCAATTTACTTTATTTACAGGTTGAGCATCCCAAATCTGAAACTAAAATGCAAAATGCTCCAATGAGAATTTCCTTTGAGTTTCATGTTGGTGCTCAAAAAGCTTTGGATTCCACAGCATTTTTGATTTTGGATTTTTGTATTTGAGATGCTTGACCAGCAATATGTTCCAGAAAATATTAGAAAAATGGATGTGTCTCTGTGGTAAACCCTGTCCTAGGCATCTTACATGTATTATCCCACTTAATTATCACCACAGGCCTAGGAAGCAGGTAGTTTTATTATCTTCATTTCCCAGAGGAGGAAAATGAGGTACAGGAAAGTTAAATAATTTACTTGTAGTCAGTCCAGGAAGTCAGACTCCAGAACTCACAGTAGGCACCACTACACTGTCAATGACAAAGTTGCCTTTGTCACTCAACACAATGATGGGATGTTACCAAGGTTGCAGCATATGGCTGCATAAATTGCATACAGCACAGCTGGGGATGGGGCTGGCGAGCTGACCTTGTTTGGTGCAGCAGATCTGTTGCTTTGCTGTCACTGATGTGCAGTTAGGCAATGTCCTTTAACTTGAATATACCTTAACGTAAGCATAGTAAGAAGACACCGGAGAAAAATCATGCTTTTCAACACGAACTAGAAATAAAATTATTCATCTATTATTATTTTCCAATAAGACAATAATTGAAACCATGAAAGCCATGTATATTCCAGAGACATGTACATAGGCTGACTATATACATCATCTACACTTTAGATAGGCCATTTAAAGTAAAGGATGCTTGCAATTTGGAGGAAATATGAACTTCTCCATACAAAATGCTCACACCTCTCAGCTTAACCTGGAGCTTCCAATTTCCGTGTGGCCACTCCTCACCATCTGCTTATGTTGGCACAGGGTGGGAGGCAATTCACTTCATTCAGGAAGGCGTCCTACACTACACTTACGAGCAAAGACCTGCAAGCCAGGTGAAGGAAATAAGGAAGCGGAAATGAACCCACAGTAAACACTTCACTGGGTGGCGTCCCATGGGCAGTCTGCATGGACGGGTGTTTGTCTAGTAACCCCCACCCATGGCCGCTTTTCCTCTGACTGCTGGAGGGGTTTGCTTCCTTTACCCAAATCTGTGTCGGGAAAAACTCCACTGAAGTATGGTTTTAAGTTTCTTCTCCCAGACAAATAAATAAGCAGCCCATATTCCAGCAGACCAGATCTGAGTGAGAGCAACTGGCGCTGGCAAAAGTGGCCGTGGCCAGAATGAGTGGTACCTGTGTCAGTCGGAGAAGTGGCTTTGGGCAACAGCAGGAATGTTAAAAGGATGTTAACTGAAGGAAAATCGTTAATTTCATATTTGAGGAAACCTTTTGGATGCTTAGGGAATGATAGTCAAAATTCAGGCTGCTATTGCTTTCTTATTCTCCTTACACTCTGTATCCAGGTTTGGTCCAATTTCAGAAAACATCCTTCCCATTGCCTTGAATTTCTGTCTAGTTTCCTTCTACCATAGCATCTTTAACCAGAAAGAAGGCATCTTCTCTTACTATCCCATTTTCCGCTAGTGTGAGCTTAGAAAGGTATTGATCTCTCTCTCCCTCTCCCCCTGTTTTTCTCCTCTGGGGAAGCTTCTTAGGAAACATCAGTTCTATAAATCACAAGTTTTCCTACTAAGACCTTTGGCATATAGCTGGCTGCTACTTCACCTTTTTAAAAACATGATCAACATCCTGTGTCCAGTTAGAATTAGGTAACTTAACCTTTCTATCAAGGTTGATTTTTGTTTAGACCCTGGGAATTGCTCTGCATCATGGCATATAGGCAAAAACAAAAAACAAAACAAACAAAAAACCCTGAAGAAATAAATTGTGGAGAAAAACGTTTGTAAGTACAAATATGAACCCTGCAGAAAGGATTGGAATCCAGTGGCAGGTAGACATGCTGTACGACTGGACCCATAAGTAATGGAGGACCGTACCGAAGAAATGTACTCTGTACCCCAAAGCTTATAAAATAATTGAACAGGGGATGTGGAGAGGGAATCTGACATTGGCAACACAGCGTGTCTCTCCTGTGAGTTGCTGGAAGTTTGAGGTGACTGATGACAATTCTGTCTGCCCTGATACCGACATTGTTGTTTCTCATCAGCTCTCTCCTCAGGACCCCTGACTATCTCTCCACTTTCCAGCAGAGATGTCTGTGTTTCTGGGCACCAGTCCCTTTGGAAATAACACTTTAGCACCTCTTAAACATTTGCTTCACTACTGAGTAGTTATTTGCACATTATTCTGTCTTCCCTCCTAACGAGAATTCTTTAACAGTCAGACTTGTTTGCTCAGCAGCTACCCCAATGGCAGGCACAGAGTGAGCGCTCAGTAAACCCTGAATGAATAAAACAAAAGGAGGGGAAGAAAGCCTGTCAGCTTGTGGGCTCACTTTTGTGTCTCATAAATAAATGGATGCTCCAAGACTTGTAAAAGAGGAACATTATGCCCTTGGGATGCAGGAGAAATCACACGTGATTGTGTTAGATTAGATTGGGTTGGTTAGAGGAAAAAAAGAATTTGGCCTCGGAAAGCTATTTTCTTCAATGTGGGAGTTTGATGTAACAGAATCCCGCCTTTGGATATTCCTTATTTGGTTTCGGGTACTGATAACAAAAAGGACAAGGAGAAAGATATTTAGAAATGGTTTATAAGATATTCTGTCCAAGCCACCTCGCCTCTCCTATCACCCCCTCAACCTTGCTATTTTCCTTCCTCCAGGATGATCTTTCTAACTTCCAAATCTGATCATGTCCCTTCCCTGCACAAAACGGTCTCTATTCTCTTCAAAATGATGACTAGAACCCTTGCGCAGTGTGACAGCCCCTTGTGGCCTTGCTGTGAACGCCCTCCAACCTCATCCCTCCTCCCTTCTGTCGCACCCTCAAACCTGGGCTGCAACCACCAAACGACCTGCAGTGCTCCTTACCCACACTGGCTCCCTGTTCTTTATGACTTTGAGGATGGTGCTTACGTCCTCCACTTAAGCGATGCCCTTCCCTGCCTACATAGCTCCTACTCATCCTTCAAAATTTAACTGCTCCTCCACCCACCATCTCTCGTTCACTTTTCACGCTGAGTGCTGTCCAAATCTAGTAAGGCTCTGCAATTGTCTCCTACGCTCATTTCCTTCCTTCTCGTCCTCTCTTCTCCCACTGTGGGGTGACCACGGTTACACGTAAGGACAATACACTTTCTGCTTTACACCCAGTCCACTGCTTGTCAATAACAAGCTTTATAATCTCCCAAAGATATAAAAGCTGAACCACATGAAAGAGCTGTGGAGTTGGTTCCCTAGGGATATTGGCCACCCTGCTGCTGGCTGTGAGACATGTGACTGCTCACCTACATCAGTACATAGATGTGGCCGGGGAGAAGGATCTGACGCCTGACCCCCAGTCCCCTACGTCCTCATGGGTGTCAATATTTTACCACCTACATGGGGTATTTTCACTTTACTTTAACATTTCTGCTCAGTCTAAGAAATCACCCCCTCCTTCATTGTGTTTTTCAGAAAACCAAGTGGGTTATTACATTAGTTCTGAGCAATGAGAGGGAAGCAATCCATACACATGGGGTGGAAATTAAATGAAACCCTAGAATTAGGATTTAATTCCCAAGTGAGAATGAGCTGAAGAAGAAGCCTAATAGGAATGCCTCAGCCTCTCAGTTGGCCAATAGAACCCTAAGGTGTCTGTGGTACCCTGAGATTTTTCGTCTTGCACTTTGCAACATTCATTTGTGGGCTTGTCTTTCTGCTCCACCAAGCTCTCAGAGAATAAAGTGAAATGCATGTCTGCCTTCCCACTTCCCAGCACAGTAGCTGCCTAGAGCACAGAACCTCAATACCAGCACTGAATTTCACAGTGAGAAAGTTACTTCCATTTCCATTCTCTTTTAATCCTTTTAGTTCAGGCAGAGCAGAAAAAATTGATTGTGTGTTTTGAACACTCCTTTAACATTTGTTTTTCATCCCTTTTAAGCAGGCTTCAGTGGGCACAGTATCCACCTGGAAATGAGTAACTTGCTTTGTTTTCCTTGTTCTTTTTTAATGGTCAATTCCCTCCCAAATGGCAAGGCAAATGGAAGTAATACCAAGTTGCTTTTAACGAATGTATTCAAATAAAAATAAGTCTATTCGTGGAAAACTAGTAAAATATAACATCAGTAGAAATGGACTTGGCCAAAATCATGATGATGCTATATAAAGGATGGATGTTTAGAAAAC